CTTAATCTTCACCACAGGAGAGGAAACATTAAGAGCAGTGATATGGTGGTCATGTTTATTGTGAACATATACATAGACGCTGCGTCTAGACCGGCAAGATGGCAGAAAAACTTGCAAGCTGTCTACACTGGCCGCTTGAATTTCCACAAGAACACTGATGATCTCATGTAAGATTGTCAGTGTTCTTGCGGAAATGCTATGCCGCTCCCGTTCGAACAAAAGCCCTCTTGCGCAAATGCTTTTGCGCAAGAGGGCCGGTGTAGACAATGCGGTATTGTTTTGCGCAAAAAAGCCCCGATTGCGAAAATGGCGAGGAGTAACGGTACTTCGGAATAGGAAGCCTAATCTGAACTACCTAGTTCGTGCCGCGTGTAGCCGCAGGCATAGAGTCCGAACTAGGGGACATTTAAAAATGGCGGCGCCTGGCAATATGCAAATGAAGCCCGGGAAATTCAAATCCTGGGCTTCATTTGCAACTCCGGTTGCCTACATTAACCACCCTAGTTCGAACTAGGGTGGTAGTGTAGACATACCCCTAGTTATTATTATAAATTGTACAACTACCACATCTTAGGCTAATAAACATCTGTTCCCTTGCTGTCGTTTGACATTCAATACAAATATTTCTCAAAACAGGAAGCATCCTCAAGTTATCATTTAAAGATTCAGAAGAATGGCCAACACAGTATTGGTTGTTAAAAACACAGCTAGAATTTGCCTGGGAAAATATTGAATCCTTTTCAGAATATCCTGCAATTAATTAAGTATTTATAATCTGGAAAGATAACTTTTTGGTTAATTTTACAGGAAGTTCTCAGATAAGTTGATAACATTTTATGTGTACAATATACTTATAATAACATTTGACAAAGGTTAAACACTCTGGAATATTGAGAACTTCATTATTACATTTCACAATTATGGTGACAGTAAAATTTAACAAAAGTATGAAGCAGTTAGGTCATACAGCCTCACTTTGCTTGGAAGCAAAGATATAAAAGTCTTGGACAAAGTACTGGCAGCATGCCCAGAATTGATTTCACTAAAAATGATTCATTCTGGCCAACAGGATTTATGTTTAGAAGGTCTACTTGCATGGTGATAAGACTTCTATTTAATGGTCAATATCAGATGAAAATTAGATCTGACCTTAGATGTTAAGAAACTATCTTTTTGCTGCTCAGGAGGTTGGATAAAGAAATCCATAGATAAACTAGACAGTAGGGAAAACATATGGCATAGAAAACTGTTATCCTAAAGACCGAAGTATCTCACACTCCAAAAATATGAATGCCTAGCTCAGATAAATTATGTTGAGGTTTATAAAGTATTTATATATCTAAATTTAACAGTGAAAATGTTTCTAAATATTACTTTAGTATTAAAAAACTAAAAATAATTTATAACTTAAGAAGTGAACAATATGCTTAAGAGTGACATGATCTAAACATGAGCTATGTGTTATTTAGGGATATGAAGTATAAAAGAAATAGAACAACAAGTGTTATAAATTATAAAAGAAAAAATATTGGTATCATAATGGAGAGAAAGTTTGATTTCTGACTCTAACTTTAGAAGAACTTGGGCATCTGTTTCCACCTCAAAGTAGAATCTTTTTTTTCTCCCTCAGCATTTGAAAAGATAGTCTAGAACTACTTAATACGATTTTTGGTCTGTGTTATTGAAGCTTTTGTCAGTTTTTATCTCATTTGAAAGGTGGGATTAAAAACAGATGATGTGTACTGTAACTAGACATCTTCTCACTACCATGTTTCCTTCTTCCTGGGAGTAGAAAAATGTGCACTACCACCTCCTTCTAAGTGAGACTTATGAATGCAGCTGCTTAGTCTGGAAAGAACTCTATTTGTATCCCTTCACATTTCTAATGGGATAATGAAAAGACAAGAGGCACCAGGGCAGGAGTAATGGCACTGCCCTGTCTCCATTATTTAGCAACCAGAAGATATGGTCTAACAAACTTGTCACTTCTTATTAAATAAATCAGTCTTTTTTGAAATTCAGCACTAGGGCTACAAATCCAGGAGATGGTAATTGAGAAAGCCATTTGTGTCAGCACTGTTTGCTTTGATGCACTAAACTCTAATGACACACACAGAGAACAATGAAGGAGACCTCAGTGCATATGCTATAAATTGAAAGGTTATGAACATTACCTGCTTTGCATTTACATCACCCTTGACATGTAGGGCCCCAAATACATTTGAGGCTGAGGCTTTTTGTTTTCAAGTATCAATACCCATAGTACTTGCTACACCCTTAAGCATTGTATATCACAGTAGCCTGTGTGATAGCCTGCACAATATAATCACTTTGCCAGAAGAACTATTAGGAGAAAGAAAAGCACTGTGAGATTTGAGATGTGGGAGTAAGAGATCTAAAAAAGGTTTTATGCTATTTGAGTGAGGAAATAAGTGACATTTTAATAAACAAAAGAATAACAGAACTTGTAGACCTTGGGACAGTGTCTGATTCCACTAACTCAATATATTAAATGTGTACAACTAGTTGGAATTATTCATTTTACTTGAGCCCTAACAACTCAAGGTAACATTCTAGAGCTGTACTTGTGCTTTTAGTTGGCATGGCCAACTCTCTAAATAAATATGCAGTGAGTATGCTCCTCCACAAAGGTCAATTTCTCAATACCCTTCAAGAATCTTGAAGGGTTTTCTTCAAATTTAACTGTCAAAACAAAGAAACAGAAAAAAACCGGAACTAACAATAATAAATGTATTTAAAAATAAAAATAGAGCACTTAAAAAAGCTAAACTACATAATAACTAGGGGAAAAGCTATTAGCTTTTAGTCTAATAAAATTATATTAAATAATAATAATATACATTAAGAAAAATAGCAATCACAAAAATGGATCAATCTCTCATTTAAAATGTGTACAGCATGTCCTCATTTTGTGTTTTATAGTCTAGTGCCTTAACTGCTCATGAGTGAGTGACCTTTTCATTGAAACAGAAATACCTATATAGAATCACAGATTTACAACATAACCCTGCTTCATGTAACCAACACAAAAATTATAACTGTGTGGAGTTTAAGATATTACTAGAGGTCTATAGCACCCTGAAACGAGATGACAGTTGGGGATCACAATATGAAACATATTCCAGTGTGCCCACTGGCCAATGGGAATTGCCTCTTTAAAGAACAGATAGCACGGGAAGTACCTCTTCCACCCTCCCCTCTGGCTCGCAGCAGCTCTGAGGGGCCTGCTGGGGAATGGAAGGCAGGGAACCTGTTGGACTGCTGGCTGAGAGTTGCCCAGGTAAGTGTCTCCTGGCCAGAGCCTGCTTCTGCCACCTCACCACCTCCCTGCCCCCCCCAACTTCCTGTGCCCCCACTCCTGCCTCCCACCCCACATAACCCAAACTCTCTGCTCCCCTCTTGCACTCATATCCCCTCCCAGACTGCACTCCCATCTCCTGCCCCAGGTCATAATTCAAGCCCCCTAGCCTCCTCCTGCATCATAGTCTGCTGCTGCAGGTCACAACCCCCTTCTGATCTAGATTACAACCCAAACCCCTGTTCCCCAGTCTTCTGCACAAAGTCACAACCCAAACTCCCGCCTGAACCTTAGTCCCCTGACCCAGGTCACAATCTCCTCCTTCACCCAAACTCCCTTCCAGATCCCACACACCCTCCAACTCCCCAGTCCTTTTTTCAGTACCCAACCTCCATCCCAGACCCCGCATCCCCTTCATTAATATCACAGAAGAGTGTGGCCCTTGGCCACTTACCAAATTATTGGAGTGCTCCCCCCCGTCAAAAATTATTGTCTGCCCCTTCTATTGATCCTTCAAAGACTGCATTTTTGCAGAGGTTTCCTATTGTCTTGTGTCAGATAGCACTGTGGAGGCCATTTTCCCGTACAATATTTATCCAAAAAAAAAAATCTTGAGTACATAACGACTGGTCTATGATGAAATATTTTTTAACTTAATGCAGATAAACAACTTCTATGCTGTAGTAAACAAATGTGTAAATGTTACTTTAAGAGTTCCAAATAAAATCAAACAAAAGTTTAGATGAGGGAAATGATAAACTTTAAAACACTACAATACATTACTTTAAGTATTCATCATGTGTATACTTCAGGCACCAATCTCAGAAATTCATCTCTATGTGAATCCTCAAAATTGCAAAACATGAATGAGTCACAAAGTAGAATGAAAAGGGAATAATATTACCAGAACTTACTGCAAACATTGTTGGGATGACCTAATGTTCACATTTATGTTTACTTAAAAGAAAATCTGAACATCTGTAAAAATTTTCATTTTACATATTAGACATATATGTTTGTATGCAGAAGTTCTTACCTAAGATGTTTAAATGCATCACCTCTGACAAGCGGTGTCTCTACAGAATGTTCAAAAATAGCCCCTTCTGGCCCTAAAAGATAGGAAAATATATCATGGAAAGTGTAAGAAAATGTGCATTCAATTGCACACCATTACAGTATCACAAATTAAATTTCCATACATCAATATCAAGGTAGCTATATTAACAATATATTTTAAATTTTGGTTGTCCAGACTTCTTTGCAAAAGGTCAAAACCAAAATAAGTTAAAAAAAAAAGGAAAGTGAAAAGCGGGCTGAAAAACCCCAAAATGAATACAAAATACTCTTGAACTGTGCAAATAAATTGTGGATATAGTTATAACAGTGATCCATTTATATTTAAATAGTTGGGTAGGATTTAAATGTGAGATCTGCATTAAAATTAATAGCATTTGCACAACGAAAGCCCCATATGTTTTTTGAAAATGCTGAAGTCTTGTACAATACCACAAAAACAAGGATAGTCAAAAGACTGAACTAAAATTTCTCTTCAAACATTGCAGCACATGTTAATTACTTGCAAACTAACTGGATCATAGCTAGAATATATTGCAATTGCATGAGATTATAATACCATATATTGATATAACAGCTATAAACATAGGTGATACCATGTTTTACATCAGCAACATAATTTTATTCGATTTACATATCGTAGGAACCATAAATATCTCCACTATGTAATCTTCTGGATGTGTAAATACTGTTCATGGTAATACTGTTAAATATAGGGTAATACTGTTAAATAGTGCTCAAAACTATAATCTAAACGTATGTGAGTAAAACTGCAGTGTAAATTCTGATTGTACTGACCATAATTTTATATCTTTTTGGATTTCATCATAAGAACATAAGAACGACCGTACTGGATCAGACCAAAGGTCCATCTAGCCCAGTATCCTGTCTACCGACAGTGGCCAGCACCATGTGCCCCAGAGAGGGTGGACCGAAGACAATGATCAAGCGATTTGTCTCCTGCCATCCCTCTCCAGCCTGACAGACAGAGGCCAAGGACACCGTTTTATCCCCTGGCTAATAGCCTTTTATGGACCTAACCTCCATGAAATTATCTAGCTTCTCTTTAAACTCTATTATAGTCCTAGCCTTCACAGCCTCCTCTGGCAAGGAGTTCCACAGGTTGACTACACACTGTGTGAAGAAGAACTTTCTTTTATTAGTTTTAAACCTGCTCCCCATTAATTTCATTTGGTGTCCTCTAGTTCATCTCTTTATATATGACACTTACAGTGTGGTTCCTTGAAAAATAAACACTTATCTGGTACAAGAGGAATGTTGAAACTATTAGTAGAAAAGTAATGTTGCTTATAAAGTAGGGCTGTCAAGTGATTAAAAAATGTGATTTATCATTTAACTGTGATTAACTGTGCAATTAGCCACACTGTTAAGCAATAAAATACCATTTATTTAAATATTTTAAAATATTTTCTTATATTTTAAAGTACAGGTTTCTACTCTGGACGTACCCAATATGACAGCATCCCTCGTCTCATCAGAGACCCCATGAGCGCTCCGACTGGCAGGCTGGGGCCAGGAGCCTTGGTAGACTAGGGAAGAATGGATCCTCAAAGTGTTTGGAGCCGCTGGGTATGTCTAAATTGCATTACTCTTTTAAGAGAGGAATGCAAATGCAGATGAACGAAATTGCAAATGAAGCACGGACTTGAATTTTCCGTGCTTCATTGGCATAATCATGTCCGGGCGCTCTTTCTAAATACCCTATTTCAAAAAAAGAAACACTGTGTAGATGCGGTTAAGATTTAAGGGTTATTTTGAAAGAAGGGTTTTCTTTTGAAATAACCGTGTCTACACAGCGTTTCTTTTTTACTTATGTAAAATTTAAGTAATTTAATTGCTATTTTTTATTTAATCACGTGAGTTAATTGTGATTGACAGCCCTCATAGTCAAATACATGATTATTACAGAAAAGTATTTTCTTTCAAATATTAATTAAGCTTTTGTACAAGTCTAAATTGTGCATCCATGATTCTTAATGAAGTTTATATTTCATTTTAATATTTATTCATGCAAAAGTCTATACAACTAAGGAGTCAAATAACTCACCTCTCAAAAATGTCAGTAGTTTTGACCCATTAGAAATATAGAATGAATGGTTAGGATGTGCTTACCTATGTGAGCGTTATTAGACTGACAGCATGATTATAGGTCAAGGCAAAACTGAGTCAATAATGATCTTTGGTTGCAATCTAGTGTGGCATTGCATTCTAACATACTACAAATTCAGGTCTAAAATGTATTCACAGTACTGCCACCACCCACCTGAGATAGGGTACGTCTATACTTGCCCACTACTTCGAAGTAGGGAGTCAAATGAAGCATACCAAAGTTGCAAATCAAGCGTGGGGTTTAAATATCCCGTGCTTGATTAGCATATTTGCGGCCAGTTGCCATTTTAAAATGCTAGTCGCCCGATTTAACTTGCTGCGTGTAGACGCGGTAGTCCATTTTAAAACCCTTCCCTCATTGCACAAGGAGTACCAGTTAATTTGAGGGAAGGGTTTTAAATCGGACTACCGCGTCTATATGTGGCAAGTTAAAAATCGGGTGACCAGCATTTTAAAATGGCGACCGGCCGTGAATATGCTAATCAAGCGCAGAATATTTAAATCCCGCGCTTGATTTGCAACTTCGGTATGCTTCATTTGCCTCCCTACTTCGAAGAAGGGGGCAAGTGTAGATGTACCCTAAAAGTGAGAAGAATAGATACTTCCAAAGAAGGTACTAGAAACTTTACAGTGAAAAATTATTTTTAAAAAACTGCCCATGAGGAGATTTAATTCAAATAAGTCTCTCCTCTTTCAGTTAGGTCTTGTCCACACTTGTAGTTGTGTTTAGGGTACCATAGCAATGAAAAGCAGACTTTTGACCACACTGCCATGTGCAGCTACATATGGCAGTAAATAGCTGTGGCAGTGAAAAGCTATGGCACAGCTCCCCATTGCTGGAGCCTTTCCCTTCAGCAGGGAAATATTCTGGTATCTGCCTGTGGTAGGGAAACACTCTAGCAGTGGGGAGTTGCTCAAGTTTTTCTCCTCTGCCTCCCTTCTGCTGGAGCCTTTCACTACTGCCTCTCCACTCCCCACCTTTCCAGGCTGCTGGAGTCTTTCACTAGGGCTGTGTCTAGACTGCATCCCTTTTCCGTAAAAGGGATGCAAATTAGACATATCGCAATTGCAAATGAAGCAGGCATTTAAACCCCCCCCCTTCATTTGCATAAACATGGCTGCCGCTTTTTTCCCGCTCGGAGCTTTGCCGGGAAAAAGCGCCAGTCTAGACGGGGATCTTTCGGAAAATAAAGCCTTTTCCGAAAGATCCCTTATTCCTCTTAAAATAAGGAATAAGGGATCTTTCGGAAAATAAAGCCTTTTCCGAAAGATCCCTTATTCCTCTTAAAATAAGGAATAAGGGATCTTTCGGAAAATAAAGCCTTTTCCGAAAGATCCCTTATTCCTCTTAAAATAAGGAATAAGGGATCTTTCGGAAAATAAAGCCTTTTCCGAAAGATCCCTTATTCCTCTTAAAATAAGGAATAAGGGATCTTTCGGAAAATAAAGCCTTTTCCGAAAGATCCCCGTCCAGACTGGCGCTTTTTTCCGGCAAAGCTCCGAGCGGGAAAAAAGCGGCAGCCATTTTTATGCTAATGAAGCGGGGGAGATTTAAATCCCCTCTTCATTTGCCATTGCGATGTGTCTAATTTGCATCCCTTTTACGGAAAAGGGATGCAGTCTAGACACAGCCTAGGGTGGGGAAAGGCTTTGGCAGTGGGACACTATACCACTGGGACATTAAATATAGCAATGTAGACATGCCAGACACTGTTTGGGCATATAGAGAATTAAGGATGTTAAACTGCGGTTAATTGACTAGTCGACTAGTTGATGGAATTTCCATCAACTAGTCGACAGGCATGTCCATGTTCCTCCTTTGAAATGTACAAGAGGGAGAATTTCTCTGAAGGATCCCAATAACTCTCCCCAGGACCTCCCCCCCTCAGGGGCTTTTGGCTTGCTACACTATTCCTTTCCCACCACAACCCCTCCCTTCACCCACTTCCCTGAATTCTCAATAAACACACCTGTTTGTTTTTGAAGGAAATGAACCTTATATTTGTTTTAGAAAAAAAAGAGAGAAGGAGGGGGCTCATAACCTGGAGGGAGAGGGGGGATTGGAGTGGCATGGGGGGCAGCTGGATGTTACACCTCCGGTGCAGGGATCTTGTCAGACTTGGGGTTGGGTGGGTCCTGGTACCGCAGGGGGGTGGGCAGGAGCAGGGGCTGGAGTGGGGTCAGGGATGGCAGGGGGGCAGGGTGAGGGGGTATGAGCATCACTTGGCGAGGGAGCTTGGGCATTGCTTGGGGAACGGGGCATGGGCTTTGATTGGGGAGGGAGCAGAGGCATCACTTGAGAGCCAGCGGGAGGGGGAATGGGCTTAGCAGGGAGAACAGGAGGGTGGCAGACAGGAGCAGTGACAGAAATCAGGTAAGGGGGGCAGGGAGAGGGGGTATGAGCATCACTTGGCGAGGGAGCTTGGGCATTGCTTGGGGAACGGGGCATGGGCTTTGATTGGGGAGGGAGCAGAGGCATCACTTGAGAGCCAGCGGGAGGGGGAATGGGCTTAGCAGGGAGAACAGGAGGGTGGCAGACAGGAGCAGTGACAGAAATCAGGTATACCATCATTTCCCTCATGATGGCACACATGCTATCGCACCACTGCATGAGCTGGCCCCAGGTATGGTTCCGACACGCTGTGTGCTCCCGGATATTCTGTGCCAGGGTTTCCTGCATGTCACACAGGACACTGACATACTGCCACATCAGGTCTTCATGGACCCTCGTGTGCTTTCGGGTCCCCCGGGCTCTGGCAGATTGCTTGGTTGGTGTGGCTTGGCCCTTAGTCCCAGCAGGTCCGACTGTGTAGAACACAAAGAGTGAGAGACGGTCAGTCATCCATGGAGACATTGTCCTTGAAGCCGTGCTCGTCTCTGTGAGCAGTGACCAACAGTCCTCAGG